CACAGCACCCGGGCACCTTTGTAAAGTGCGGCAAAAGAGCGGGGGATATATATATATATATATATTATATATATTTTTCAATCATGTGTCATGTGTGCTTCTGTTTCCAATTTTTTTTAAACTTTTTATGCTTCTCATTGTGCGCATCTTGCACCTTGCGAGGCCGTTGAGTGGGTCTTCAGCCGCAGTCAGCCAAATGCTGATTGAGGCCATTTGTTTCGGTCGGGAGTCTTTTGACATCTCGGTCATATGTGAATCCAAGGGTCTTGCATCGCATCGATTTCAAGTCTGTTTTTCCATGTCTTTGGGTCCGCTTGACGAAATGGAGCTGGTTCACCATGGTTACCTGGTTACCAATGAGTTTTTAGTCTGGCCCTTTTCGTTCGGATGATCATGTTCAATCCGAAGACCAAACAGGTGGTAAACTCAACTAACTCCACTTCCAAACAAAACGGTTTGGAACTCATGTGGCTGCCAGACTGAAGGATCAGCCTGCTCAAACCGCTTGGAGAGCGCAGCTCTCTAAAGGCTGCCTGGGTCCTGGTAGGGTGGTAGGGCGAGGGGGAGGGCAAAAGGATGCAAATTTTGCATGTGCTGCTTGATTCATGGCATGAATCCTGACCATGAACTGAAATTGGAGCTCCAGTCCTTGCGTTTCATGACGTGACTAAAGTTCGAGGAGCTCAAGTCCTTTTGTAAGACTGGGCCTTTTCTTCTCCACCAAAGCTATTCCCTTCATGTCCGTCCAGGAACTGTCGTTTTTCCCCGTGATCGCAGTTTCGGTCTAAAAGTGCTATTTTAGCGCTGGCCACCTTCGTGGAGACCGATGGCAGCGCCTCCTTCATGGGCCCCGATGGGGAGCAAGTTCTGGGAGCTGCACCGAAAGCTGGCCGAATGCTACGAGGAAGACCTGCTGTTGGCCAAAAGCACCGCGGAGCTCGGCTGGAGCGGCCGAAGTCCAAGGGAAGACCCAGGTGCAGCAGCCTCCTTTGGGTGGGTTTTTTCGCTTCGTTCTCTTCCAAGCAATCGTTTTCGGTGTGGAAGAACCGGTCAAACTGGCAGCTGCCCCCATAATCCACAAGGTTTCACCCTGAAAGAAACCACGGAGGAATCATCAACTATGAACTGGTGAATGTTGGTGATCAAGCCTCCTCCCCCGAAAAAAGAACCCACCCCAAAACCATTCCCCCTTGGGCTCTCTCCACCCACGGGCATGGGGGTGGTCAATACTATCGCCATGCATCTGATCTCCACGGGAAACCCCACGGCGGGTTTCCCGCGGGGCGACCCGCATGGGTTTGACCCGCATGGGAGGGGTCCGGACCCCGCCCCGAGCCCCGCATCGGTCCGATCGCTCCTCGCGGCTCGGGGTCCGGAGCATCGACCGGGGGGGGGGGGGAACCCCGCTCCCGGGCAGGTTCGCCTGGATTGGAGGTGCTGGCACTGCAATCCATCGGAGAAGACCCATCAGAGCCTCCCCCACCGGTCCACCTGACGGATGTGAGGAGCGGTTCTTTCGATCCGAAGCGGGACAAGGGGACAAGGGAGGGCAAAGGAGGCGGCGGCAACGCAAAGGAGGTGGCCTTCAACCAGGAAGCAGAAAGGCAGAAGGCCCCAACAATCATCATTTGATTTTGAATCTGTCTGATGTGTTTTTCGGCAGCTTGCCGAGCTGGAGGAGCTTGCCGAACTCCACTTCCGCCTCTCCAGTGTATCCCTTCACCAAAATGCGTTCGGCACAGTCCGCTTCGGACTTGAAGCCTTCCAGGCAGGCGATCTTTTTTGGGGTTCTTGAAGCAAGCGGTGGGATTGAATTGTGCCACACCATGCCAACTTCTGAAGACTTTCATGGACGTCCATACGTGGAGGCCATCGGTACTAGGGCTAGGGTGGAGGCCATCGCTATCAACTAGAAACAAAAATAGAAAAGAAAAGGAAGAAAGGTCTAATATAGTTTATACATAGTCCATACATGTCCATACCAAGCGCCTGGGCCCTTCCTTGCCCTTCTTTGACCAACGCGAAACGATGCCGATCGTTCGTGGGTTTGCAGGTTGCAGACCAGCAGCTTGGAAGGGTCTCAAGACTTGGACATGCCGAAGGTGGCTTTGTTTGAGAACGATGTGGTTGGGGATTTCGGGGTGAGGATGTCCACAAAAAAGACAGCAGTTGATATATGTTTTTCTTTTTTCCTATTCTTTCCAATACGGCATTGATAGATAGACATATATAATTATATATATGTATATCTTTCCAATACTGTCAAAACCGCAAGATTCATTCGTTGGAGGATGTTTTTTTGGGATTCCGCTTGGGGGGCTTCCGAACAAAAGGGTGCCGGAAAGAACATGGGCACGTGTCATTGTCATTGTCAAGAATCAACTAAGAATCCACATGCTGGCTCTATGAGTATCCTAGATGTTCCTCATCCCGCGGTACACCTGAGTATCTGAAGAGAAGTCCATCGTCGCAGAAGTCCCACGCGACGAGGCTCTTGAGCGGACCGCCTTGACGAAAGGATCCGTGCCCTTGACCTCTCTGAAGGCGAGGATCCGCTCTGTTTGCGGGTGTTGCTTCACAGACAGCTGCGAACCCATCATCCTATATCCTGTATCAAATGGATGTAGTAATGCCGAGTGGGCATTATCATGAGCATGATTGGGATGGTGAGAATGATGGGAACTCCGCTTTGGATGGCAATTGGGATGATCGATACCACCGCAACCATCCAATTGGTTGCGGATGATCATTCCTATAGCTAGGGAGCTAAGGGTTTGTCCTACCTGTCAGAGTCGGTGAAGCAAATCACAAGCAACTAAGCATCATCCACGGTTTCTGCTCGGAGATACCCATTGTTTCGGGGGCATGGATAAACTTGGAAGCCATGAGGTCGTTTATCCAGAGGCTCAAGTGCCGCGGAGCGCCCCCCTCGGAAAAACACATGAGGAAAAAAGGCTATGGTGACCATCCAAGCCTTGTTTTGACATATTTCGCTGTTTTTTGTTAAACCTTTACAGGCCAGCATGGGTCAAACTTCCCCTCCTTCTTTTCGCAGAAAGCTGATGAAATCATCATTGGGAACGTGCTTGGCACATCTCATCTTTGGATGCTTAGGGATCGAACCAGATACAAACCCAGTGACCCAAAGGCCGTGCGCGTTTCTACGTTCGTAGCTTCTTGCTCCGTTCGTAACAATGACCTCCAACCTACTTGCGATGGCCTCCACCTCATAGCGTCCTTTGCTACTAGTAGTGTCCTTGCTCGTAGTAGCGATGCCCTTTGTTCCTGCTAGCGTCCAGGAACGTGCCAAGAACGCGCTGCAGCTGGCGCTGAATCTTGGGAGTCAATCGATGGGCTCGGCAAGCGACCTCAACCAGCTGGCAGCGCTCGAGGTCTGGGAGGAGGACATCCGCAAGGAGCCGGGAAGAGCCGGGGCGAAGACGACGACATGCTCCGGCCGTCTCTTTGCTTCGCACCAGGCAGAGTCGTGACGTAGAAAATGCACTCGTGAGGTGGGCTGGAACTTGGCGAACGGGAGGTCCACGAACATGTGCGCGAACCTGAGAAGGCTTTCTTAGAACATGTCCGTTTCCTGGAACATCCTGGAACCAATGGATCGTGCATGATCCCACTGTGTGTGCTGTGTGTGCTGCGGCCGACTTCTCCGAAGGATTACAAGTTCTCACAGAGCAGACGACAGTCCAGAACAGCTTTGGTCACAGTGACCTCGACATCGGTTCAGAAACAGGGCGGCAAGTTGTATTTCTTGATTGGACAATCCTTTTCCAGTGCTTCAGTTTCCACTTCCATGTTTAGGTAAAGCTTGTGTTGGTGCATGTCCATGCTGAATTTTCCTCAAGAGCTCGAGAGCACCTTTGCTTCGGTGTTTACGTCTGCTTTGGTGTCCACGTCTGCTGCTCAGGAAAGTGGAGCAGGTCCAGAAGGGAGTGCGCAGGATGAATGCTTTCCACCCTGCAGGCCCTTTCAAGACCTTTTGGAACATGCTCGTGGCAGCTTGTGTGCTACATGATTTGGTGATCATCCCAGTGCTCCTTGGTCAGCAAGGAGTCGAAGTCATAGATGCTCGCAGCATACTGCTCAGTCAGAATTCAGCCAGATGCTACCACTACTGTCAAGGATCAATACTGGTGATTTGGGATGGTCATTCATGGGTTCATGCCGATATCAAGCATCATAAGTATCTCTACTAGCAGGTTCATGTATTCACACTAGCTTAAAATAGCAACATAATCCAAAACCGACAGAACAACTGCGGAGAAGTCAAATGGTCAGTCGGACCACGCCAGTTTGGCCGACGAGTCTTTCCATCCCATCGGAGGTATGTCTTTGACCCCCCGGAGAACGTGCCGTTGAAAGTCTTGGAGTGGATGACGCAAATCTTTTGGCAAGCTGATCTCATCGTCGGTGCCCTCACCGGCTTCTACCGAAAGGGAACCTTGATCCTCGAGATCCGCAAATCCGCATGGCAATATCTAGTGACGTGGGGTACGTTTGACTTTGGCCTGGTCATCATGGGGTGGCTCTTCATCTTTTTGGATCTTGTGGAAGATGCTGCTTGATTCTGACTAGATTGTTCGGATGTGCTTGCAGATTTGGCCTCGCTCTGCTGGACCCCTTTCTGTCACTCTTGAGTTGGGGGACGTGTTAGGTTGCAGGGCCTCCTTTTGAAAAAAGACCACTCCTTTTTGGGGGCGGGAACGTCACACAATTCACACCTCCCTGAACGACCGGTCGCGCTGGTCGTCGCAGTTCACCGCTTGACGTGGAGCCCTGGCTCCGCCCCACCTCCTGCGCTCGGCTCATTCGCACCGGCCCGCCGTGATGCTTCGCGTCGTTCGGGACTCGGTCTTGAGGGGTCGGAACAAGCGGATCTGATCGCCTGGTCGCGGACCCTGCGGGCCATTCGCTTCTTGCGCTTCGTGCGCGTGCTACGGTGGCTGAAGCTCCGAGGGGTCACCGAGGCCTTCAAGGAGGGCCAAGCCGGGGCAAAGGAGTATGGCAGAGCTTTTTGCAAAGCGGGTTGGGGCGGCAGACCCAGGAATACTTTTGGAAAGGTCAAGGGGTTCATGGATTCACCCATTATGAAGACTTCATGGATTTCCGCCATTTCCGCAACGATATTGTCAATGGCTCACATGCACAAGCCTCCAGATTTTTGCCAAAGTCATCACGCAATTTGCAGCTAGTCCTCACGCAGAGCTCACAGATTGCACAGTGATGTTTTCATGATCATGTTTCGAGCAGAGGAGTGATACGAAGCCAGTTTTTGTTCAGTCATGGTGGGTTTACGGTAAAACCTGGTTTTCAATTTTGCTGGCAGCGTTTTGGAAGGGAAGAGCCAGTTTTTGTCATCGACAAGAGACATCAAACTGGCCGCAGGTCGGCGGTCGCGTTTTCAAGCAGTGTTTCGTGCAAATAGACGCTACGATCGGGGCTCCTGGCCTTACTACTAGGAGCAATGTTTGCTACTAGCAACAAGCGCATCGCTACTAGGAACAAGAAGCTAC